TTAATTGAGGGATGTCACAATTTATTGGAGGGCAGCAGCATCCTCATACCGACACACACTTGGAGTCTCACAATTCCAGGATGGTTTGGGTTGGGAAGGGCCTTGAAGATCATCCCATTCCACCCCTGCCATGGGCAGGGACACATTCCACCAGCCCAAGTTGCTCCAAGCCCCGTCCAACCTGGCCTTGGACACTCCAGGGATGGGGCAGCACATCTTGTATCAAGTAAAACAAGTTTTAACAATTATATTTGTGATTTCTTCAATATCCCTGTGCAAGGTGCTTTTGGAAGGTCAGTGCTGAACCTCCGGGGAAGGTGGTGGGAGGTGAACTCAAACTCAAGTCGAACATTTCTCAGTAATGAAGCAGGACAAGAGAAGAGGGAAAACACCAGTTATTACTATTTCTTTATCTTGCTGTTCTTCCCGTTTTCTCTGTAGTAGTTTTTATGGTGTCTGAGTAAAATCTCTTCTTCCCCTTTCCTTAAATATTTATAGTTTTGGTCTAAACATAAGGTAGTTGAGAATTTAGCTGAATATAGTAGAAGACACAACACTCTTCAAGTGCTTAAAGCCAAGAATAGGCCCTCAGGCTCGTGTCTGGTTGCGTCATCTGACGTGGAGTGTTTATAATTTTGGGTTGGATTAAGCTAATAGAGCATTTAACTACTACTGGATTTGTGGGGGGGATAACTGGGAATTCTTCTATGGAAGAATTTAAAATACATCTGTGGCTTGAGGCTTATGAGAAATGATAAATCGAGCTCACTGCTGTGACCAGTCCTTTTTGTGCCACGTCTCCATGTTCTCTCATTATTGGCTGTAACTCCAGGAATATCCCTATTCCTGTGGGTTTGTGGTGGGGACCCTTATTATATTTTTATTATCTATACTTTCATTATATATTCTTATTATGTATTTTTATTAAATATGTTATGATCTGGTTTAGTATATATTTTATTATATTAAAATATTATTACAATATATCAAAATTATTATATTACAATATATCAAACATACTTTATCTATTTTAGTATATATTTTATTATATATTTTTAATATATTGTTATAGATTTTATAATATATGATATATTTTCATTGAATATTTTATTAAATATTTTTTGAAGTATATATTTTGAAAGCATATATTTTGTTATTATATATATTTTTTGATTCTGGACTCCTCTTGAAAACCAGCCAGATCATACAAAGAACACGATTGTGAATCTCTCCTTGAGGTTGAAATTGTGGTTTTCTGGAATCTACTTTTAAAATATATGAGAAATGCCCATTTTTCCATCAGCACCATCGATTCCTTCAACACAAAGGGGCAAAGGGTTTGTTTTCAACCTTAACTCTCTTGGAATTTGCAGTGGTTTTATTTACTCTTTAAACACAAGGAATATGTTACAGGGATGCTAAACAAGAAACCAGCCAGATATTAGAATCTGTTATCTGGCTGTTTGTATTAATCATTAATTAATAGGGACATTCAGCCCAGTGCCAGAGCAATCCTGCCAGTGGAGTGGAAGGGGGAACACCTGGAGACCTGTGACACTGGTAGATCTTGTGGTCAGGAATAATATCCAGGGATTTGGAGGTTTTTTTGTGTGTACATTGTAATTACCAATGGGTGGGAAAGAGGACTGGGCTCAGACCCTGTTCCTTGTTCTCTGGAATAATCTTGACTATTCAAGGTTTGTTGTTCTGATCTTCAGGCTAAGCCTGATCTTTGCTTTGGTCTCCCTTTCCGTTCCTCTGCCTGGTATAGGAAATGGAAGGATCCCACGTCCAGCACCCCCCAAACCCATCCAAAAGGTTTGGGTTGGGAAATGAGGCCCTGGCCCAGGTTGCCCAGAGAAGCCGTGGCTGCCCCTGGACCCCTGGAAGTGTCCAAGGCCAGGTTGGAGCAACCTGGGCTAGTGGAAGGTATTGGGTTGCAACTGGATGGGCTTTAAGATCCCTTCCAACCCAAACCATTCCATGATTCCGTGATACCTCCCAAGGGATAAACAGGAGAGGGGAGCATCCCATGTCCAGGACAGAGGTCGGAGCCTTTGGTGTCCTTCAGTGCCTCTTCCTGTCCCAACTCTTCCAGCTCTGCCAGCAAATCTTTATTATTTGTTTTGAAACAAGGAATTTTGTTCCCTGACGTTCTTTGGGATAATGTCAGGTGGGATAATGTCAGGTGGGATTCGGGAGACAAGGGGATGCTTTGTCTCCATATCTTCTCCCTGGGATGGTGGTGAACCTTTCCGTGGCTGGATGCAAATGGATGCTGGGAGCATCCAAGTGCTGCCAGAATCCATCCAGTGTTCCCTCCTGTGCCTGGGGTGCTCCCAAAAAATCCAAAGTCACAGTTCCAACAGAACTACCTGAAGTGGGACGTCAGGCAGAGTTTCGCTTCTGCCACTTGCTTGAACAGGACTTTCTCTTCCCTTGGATCCCGTGGGATATGTAGGAAGAAGTTTCCAAGTGAAATGTAACCCTGTGATTATGTGTACCCCAAAACTCACCTCAAACCTGTGGAATAACCTCGATTCTCCAACTGATTTTAAATTTCTGTTGTTTTTTTGACAGTTTGTGACTTCACTTTGATTTTTTATTTGGTTGGTTTTTGTTTTTGTTTTTTTTTTTTAGCTCTAGCAGCCACTGCATCCATGTGGTGCCAGGATCTTGTCAGGATTTGTGGGATGCAGTGCTAGAGCCATACAGGGAATGACTGGCTCCGTAGAGGTTGTTATTTGTTGGGTTTATTTTCATTTCATTTTCCTAAGATTGCTTGAAAGAGGAAGACTTGAAAGTGGCTTGACAATTAGACTTGTGAGACACTGAAGTAACACGAAATAAAATGTATTTGTGTTCCTTGCCTCGCTCTGGGGAATCTGGGCCCTTCAACCCTCCCGAATTGCTGCGTCTCCGAAGGTACTCGTAACCCCCGAAGCTGCCCTGCGAAAGGCTTTGCTGCTTGGTTCTGCCAGTATTGAATGATGTCTGTTATGGAATTGCATAAATACAGCAGGAATTATAAAGGGGGAAAAATCTGTGGTGTTCGGTCATTGTTTTACTACACTTCAAATTTTTTCTCATTACTTCATGAAATTCCTCTCTAATTCAATCTTTGTCTTTTGTCTTTGCTGCCTTGCAGGGTTGGTACAGTAGGCCTCACTAAACTTAGCTGCAACTAAGAATTTCTCCTACATCAACTGAGTTAAGGCTGATGCTCTTGTGGAATGTGGATTAAAAGTGCGTGCTAAGTTCCAAATTCCCAGTTGAGAAGCGGAGAAAGTAAATGTACCACTGCCACCAGCATCAGGACAGCAAACCAAGGGACAAAGAATTTGAGCCGCGGTGTTGCTCTTTGTTAACTGGCTCACGTGGTGCTTAAGAGACGTTGGCTGGGGGGCGAGAAGTGGACGCCAGCCGGTTACAAACATGAGGGCCGCCCTGGAGACGGCAGACATTGCCATTGTGGCCCTGTACTTCGTGCTGGTCATGTGCATAGGTTTCTTTGCCATGTGGAAGTACAATCGGAGCACCGTGAGCGGCTACTTTTTGGCAGGGCGTTCTATGACCTGGGTAGCGATCGGTGCCTCTTTGTTTGTGAGCAATATTGGAAGTGAACATTTCATTGGGCTCGCAGGATCCGGAGCGGCGAGCGGATTTGCCGTGGGCGCGTGGGAGTTCAACGCCTTAATGCTTTTGCAGCTTTTGGGATGGGTCTTCGTCCCCGTCTACATCCGGTCGGGAGTGTACACCATGCCCGAATACTTGTCCAAGCGTTTCGGAGGGCATAGGATTCAAATCTATTTTGCAGCGTTGTCTCTAATTCTTTATATCTTCACCAAACTCTCGGTTGACTTGTATTCGGGGGCGCTTTTTATCCAAGAGTCGCTAGGTTGGAACCTCTATCTGTCGGTTATCCTGCTTATCGGAATGACGGCGCTCTTGACTGTGACCGGAGGGCTGGTGGCCGTCATCTACACAGACACCCTTCAGGCCCTGCTTATGATTATCGGTGCCCTCACGCTCATGATCATAAGCATCACGGAGGTCGGTGGGTTTGAAGAAGTTAAGAGGAGGTACATGTTGGCGGCGCCGAACATCACGTCCATCCTGTTAACCTACAACATTTCCAACACCAACTCCTGCAACGTCGACCCCAAGCCTGACGCTCTTAAAATGTTGCGCGAGCCGACGGACGAAGACATTCCCTGGCCCGGATTCCTACTGGGACAGACCCCGGCTTCCGTCTGGTACTGGTGTGCCGACCAAGTCATAGTCCAGAGAGTCTTAGCCGCGAAAAACATCGCTCATGCCAAAGGCTCCACCCTGATGGCGGGTTTCCTAAAGCTGCTGCCCATGTTCATCATCGTCGTCCCGGGCATGATCTCCCGGATCCTGTTCGCGGATGACATCGCCTGTATCAATCCCGAGCACTGCTTCCAGGTCTGCGGGAGCAGGGCCGGCTGCTCCAACATCGCCTACCCGCGGCTGGTGATGAAGCTGGTGCCGGTGGGGCTGCGGGGCCTCATGATGGCCGTGATGATCGCCGCGCTCATGAGCGACCTGGACTCCATCTTCAACAGCGCCAGCACCATCTTCACGCTCGACGTCTACAAGCTCATCCGGAAGAGCGCGACGTCCCGGGAGCTCATGATCGTCGGGAGGGTCTTCGTGGCGTTCATGGTGGTGATCAGCATCGCCTGGGTGCCCATCATCGTGGAGATGCAAGGCGGGCAGATGTACCTGTACATCCAGGAGGTCGCGGACTACCTGACCCCGCCGGTGGCCGCCCTGTTCCTCATGGGGATCTTTTGGAAGCGCTGCAACGAGCAGGGGGCCTTCTACGGCGGCATGGCCGGGTTCGTGCTCGGCGCCGTCCGGTTGATACTGGCGTTTATTTACCGCGCTCCGGAGTGCGACCAGCCGGACACGAGGCCGGGCTTCATCAAAAACATCCATTACATGTATGTGGCCACAGCTCTGTTCTGGATCACCGGGATCGTGACCTTCGTGGTCAGTCTCCTGACCCCTCCGCCCACGAAGGAGCAGGTCCGGACCACCACCTTCTGGGCCGTGAAGAACAGGAGCGTCAAGGAGACGGCGGCCAAGGGGGAGCTCTACAAGGCGCAGGAGAAGAGCATCCTCAAGTGCAACGAGAACGCCAACCACATCATTCCCAACGGCAAATCCGAGGAGAACCTGAAAAACCTCAAGCCGGAGGACATCAACCTCCTGGTGACCTGCAGAGACGACAGCAACCCGGTGATCTCGGTGAGCCACTCCGAAGTCGAGACGCCGGTGGATTGTTACTCCAACGGCCAGGCGGCTCTGATGGGCGAGAAGAAGCACGAGGAGGAGACTGAGGACCCAGAGAGACATTTGAAATTCATAGATTGGTTCTGTGGCTTTAAAAGTAAAACCATGACCAAGAGAGCTGTTCGGGAGGTCGAGGAAGAGACTGTTTGTTTACAAATGCTGGAAGAGACTCCAAAAGTTAAACTATTACTAAATACTGGACTGGTCTGTGTGTGTTCGCTTGGAATATTCATGTTTGTCTACTTCTCTTTGTGAGTGAATAGTGAACTTTTAAGGGTATGGCTGAACATACAGAAGTTGATACAGGTCTCTGGAGATTGGTTTTCTTTTTCCTGTTTGTTTTTTTTTTTTTTTTTTTTTAATTTCAAACAACATAACCACAACCCAGGCATTGTTTACGCTATAATTGTAAGATCAACTCAGCTTTAGCCTATTTCCAGACCATTTGAGACGTGTTGTCCTCTCTCTGCTCAAAGCAGAACCTGTCCTGTGGTGGCTTTTTTTCTTTTTTCCCTTTTGTGTTTTTTTTTGTTTTTTTCTTGTTCCATTTGCAGTACTAACCTTTTGTTTTTATGTGTATAAATATACCAAAGGCAGGCAGGTGGCTGTGTTTGAAGTCAGGCAGTTCCAGCTCAGTCAGCATTAAGATAACGAGTAATCATTTACCAGTGTGGAAAATCTAAACGATCAAAGCTGTGTCAAAAGGTTTTTAAATGTAGAGCTGCGATGCACATCCTGTAAAATAACTGTATTCCCTTGGCCAACTTAGCACTTCTTAATTTTGCTCACTGCTTTCAGTTGTTTTTATTTTACTTTTTTAATTCAATTTCTCTTATAGCAACAACAGGGAGTTATTTTGTTTCATTTTATAGCACTTAAAACATGATAGTTGTTAGTAGCTTTCTGTTTTTATTTTTTTCTTTGTAAGAGAAGTTTTGACTTTTGATTTTTTTTTTTTTTTAAATCCACTGTAAATTCCAGTACTGAAAAATCGCTGTATTTGAAGGGAAAAAAAAAAAAAGAGGGGAAAAAAAGAAACAATGAACCAAAATGAAAAAAAAAAAAAGCCTGGACATGACAAACTGTCACTGGAGCAGAAGGAAAAAGAAATAATCTTTATTTGGGTTTTGTATTCAGCAGGGTGGGAAGGGATCTCTGGAGATCGTCCAGTCCATCCCCCTGCCAAGGCAGGTGACACGGGAACGTGTCCAGGTGGGTTTGGAATGTCTCCAGAGGGAGAAACTCCGCTCCCTCCCTGGGCAGCTGTTCCTGTGCTCTGCCACCCTCCAGGGAAAGATGGTTTTCCTCATGTTGAGGTGAAACTGGTGATTTAGTTTATGGCCATAAGGCCAAGAAGATAATTTCAGCCTCTTCAGTCTCTGCACCTTCAGGACATAGCATTAGGCTCTTTATAGGGAAAAAAATCTGTTTGTACATTCTGCCACTTGGGAAGAAGAGAAATGTGAGGCTTTGTGTGTTGTCAGTTTGTTTTCCATGCTGGAAAAGGCCCGTTTTCCTGTGCTGTGGATGTCTGGAAGGAGTCTGTCCCCAGCCCTGCTGCTGCTGCAGGTGGAGTCTGCGAGGGGAGAAAAAAGGAAGGGGGAGTGGGGGGGAGAGGTGAAAGTGCTCCTTATTTTCCAGAGTCCTCTTGCCTCATGTCTTCTCCCATTTCCCCTTTCACCCTGTCAAGCCTCCTTTTTTTATTTTTTTGTGAGGAATCCCAGAATGATTGAGGTTGGAAAAGACCTTGGAGCTTGAGTCCAACCCGTGACCCAGCCCGACCAGATCACCGAGTGCCACATCCAGCCTTTCCTTCAACACCTCCAGGGATGGTGATTCCACCTCCCTGGCCAGCCCAGTCCAATGTCTAGTGGCCTTTTCTGGGAAGAAATTCCTCCTAATTCTTCCAGCCTAAAGCTCCCTCCTGCAAACAGCTCCCCAGGGATTCCATGTCAGGAGATAAGGAACGTGTGCCACCATGATCTGTGTCAGGAATCCAGGTCTGTCCTCGTGATTCTTCCAGAAAAGTTCATTTCTCCCAGACAATTAGTAGGTCTCCAGCTGCTGAGGATCTTTCCTGTTGAAGGATAAATCCTGAGGCAGGGATGAGGAATTCCCAGGTGTGCAGCACGAGGAGCTCAGCAGACCTAAAGGCGGCAGAGCTCAATCCACATCCCTGTTTTTGGGTGCAGAGCTGACAGTGTGTGGCTGCCCTTCCAGTATTAAACCCCCTCCCAACTCCAGGACAGAGTGGTCATATCCAGGCTTTCCATGGAAATAATTCCTCCAGTTGTCTTTGCTCCCGAGCTCGTTCAGGGCTTGGGAGAGAACAAACTGGCTGGGCCAGAAATGGTCTGAGGGACCATCTGAGTGTTCAACTAAATCAGTTCCAGGGTCCAGCGACATTTCCTTGGCACGGAAACGAGAACCAATTCCTGAGAAATCCGTTTGTAGAGATGAAATCGGGGTCAATCCTGCCTTTGAGTGCTGGAGGAGGTGTCCTTTCCAGCACAGTGGTGCCGTAACCCGTCCACATTTAGCAGATCACAGATCTGTTTGCAGGTGAAGTGGTTCCACTTCCATTTTTGTGGGTGGTTTTTTTCCTGTTAGTTTTGGTGGCGTTTTTGTATCGATCGAATCTCATTCATTCCGAAACTCCAAACAGAGGCTGAGATGCCCCACTTTCCTCCACTTGCTTTCGTTGTTGCTGCTGGGAAGTCGACTGCTCTGAGGTGGAGGAGTTGGAATGTTGTTGCAACCTGTGTAGAAAGAGTCATCACACCCGGTCGTGGTGTCGGTACCAATGTGACAGGACACATCTTCTTACCATTTTATGTGGCTGGTTTCGTTCAGAAAATGGTTTCGAATCCTTTTTAATGGCCAAAATTAAAAAGGGTGCGTGAATTAATGGCATCTCAAATCACTTCAGTAGTGGGCTGAGCTGGGAAGGATGAGGAGATGTACAAAGCACCTGGATTTTTTTTTTGTCCAGAGGATAGAACGTTGGGCAACGTTCGATCTCGTAGCGGGGATGGAAAAGCAACAACTCGTGGAGGGCAAAGATCATCTCAGTCCAACAACCTCTTCTTGAAAAGGCTGGGATCTGGCTAAAAAAATGCCTCCTTTGGCACAGGGAAACAGCCTCATGTGCCAGGCACTGTCCCTTAGGAACTTGGCGCGTGTTTTTAGGAGCGGCCGGTGCTTGGCTTTTCCAGGCCGCTCCTCTTTGCTCTCAGTATTAACAAATGCTTTGCCACAACCTGTTAAGCCAGGTTTGCTCAGGGACCCTTTGGCTTGGCTGCCATCGCCTCACCTGTGCTTGCTTTTTTTTTCCCAGGGTGCCTTAAAAAGGTTGGGAAGTTGAAGGCGCGGCTTTTCCGGCCACCCGAGGAGGGGCTTTGCTTCCAGTGGCTTTTCCCTGTTCGTTTGAACTCCTCTTTGCCTTCCCCAAATAATTTAAAGAGGACACCCCAAGGGGTTGTTAATTCCCAGGTGTCCTGGTCACTGTAACTACAATCCATGGAGGAATCACCCTTGGAGGGTGGAAGGGAGTCAAGTCCCTCCCAGATGTGGAGCCTGAGATGCTCCATCTCCCAGTTCCAATATTCCCACTTCCCAAACCAACGAGTTGCCACATTAATCACAGTGATAATTGGCAGGCAGCCTATTTATTACTTAATAAATTAATACTCTGCATCCCCCCCCATCTTTGGACCTGTTATTGTGAAGAAGCTTTTAAGCAAATTATTTCTCCGGGTTTTTTTTTTTTTTTTCACATTTAAAAATGTGGTTTTATTTCTATTTTCGTGGCATAGAGGTCATAGAACTTGCTGGTGTTCTTTGCTGCAGATAACCACTTACTAAAAGGCCTTTGTTATAAAAAAATAGATATATTTATAAGGCTTCAAGCAAGCTGCCTTTTGGTACCTCACCCTGTGTTATGGACCTTGGGAGAAGTTGCTTGAGGATTTCTTTATAGCGTAAACATGCCTTTGCTAGTCATGGAAGGCGTTGAGGAATTTTGGTTGAAACACCGTTTTTTTGGGGGCTGGTAAAATTCCAAAGCGTTTCTCAGAATGGACAATCAGTTCCATAAATTTTGTGGCCTCCTCCTCCTCCTTGGTGGGACCGGTTGGTGGTGCAGGAGGAGATCCAGGAGGACATTTGCTTTTATCGTGGTTTATTTATTGCCTTGAGCTGAGAATGACAGGCTGGAAAAACTGATTTTTGGAATGACAGCTTTTTTTTTTTTTTTCTTTTTCTCTTGGTATTTCCCTTAACTTATTTTTTTTTTTTCTGTTAAGATATTTGAATTTTCTCCCAGAAATGGTCGAAGCCTTTTATTTAAAAAAAAAAAAACTAAAAAAAAAAAAAAAGAAAGGGCTTCTTGAGAGCTTAATAGCAAATTTTGGGAGGCTGTTCTTATTTAAGTTTTTTTAAATGGCTGATTTGATACTTTTCTCTGCCAAAGTTTAGGGGTGGGGTTGTTGTTTTTTTTGTTGTTGTTGTTGTTTTTTTTTTTTTTTGTTGATTTTTCCTGGTAGCTTTTCCTCGAAGGAAACGGTGGGAGATTGTAAGAAATAAAAAAATGGCCTTCAGTATATATTGTACTGTGTATTTTTACTTCTCTTCTGTGTTTCCCTGATCCCAGAAGGGCCAACATGAGACTTCTGATGCGAGTCACGAGCCCTGTAACCCAGGAGGGAAATGAAGCCATTTCCTGGGGTTACAGTGGACAGGGCGGAGCCATCCGAGGGTCTTAGAAGATGCTTTCGACTTTAAAACAGCTTTATTTTTTTTATATATCTATTTTTTTAAATCCTAAGATAGAGGAGGTGTTGGGAGATGGTCCCTTTCAGAGAACAGGATACATGGAAGAAGCTGGAGTCGGGAAGCTCCAGCTTTTTTTGAGGAAATCTTTGGATTTAGCATGTACAGCAAAGCAAAATTACTCATCTGTTCATTTGGTATATTCTGTATGTTCTGTGCCCTTAAATGTAATTGTTTTGAAAAGAAAACTAACCTTGTCATGTGATGTTAAAAGAAGCAGATTTCTGTGCAATGTTTTAATTTTTTTTTTAAAAAAAAAAAAAAAAAAAGAGAAAATGTTTGTATATAATTCAATGGTTTAATGTGCTTTAATTGGCCTGAGGTAAAGAGTAGTCCTAGAATGTAAACATATATAATTAGGATTTCTGATTTCACTGTGAGATCTCTGAACTCTTGGTTGTTTTTCGGGTTGGGGTTTTTTTCTTGGGGTGTTTTTTGTTGTTTTTGTTTTTTTGGCAAAGTGGTTTGTTTTGGTTCCGAAACACTTCGGTTTCTGTTCCTGGTGTTGGTTTAAAGGCTTCACTTCCGTTCTGATCTCGAACTCACGGTCTGGTGACATCTGGTGACACACTTGGCATTCTCAGTTTTTCACTGTGTAAAAGTCAGACACACTCGGGGCAAAACCGCTGGTGGTGCGACAAATTCTCTGTGTCTCTGAGTCCACGCTTTTAAAATGAGGTGGTTATAAAAATAGTTGCTGTGCAAAAATGTTAGTAGTCTTCTTCAAGAAGAAAGCGAAATTTTCTAATCTCACTCGAGCAGTCTCTTCATTCATCTTCTTCTTTTCCAAGCACAGTGTCAAAGTGATGCTGCTTTACCTTGTATCTCTGATAGAATGTTTTGGGTTTTTTTTTAGGGATCTGTGAAGTAGTTTTGTTGCTGTTGGATTTTTATATAAAATACCAGTTAATGAACTGCCTTTTTTTTTTTTTCTCTCTCTCTGGGTTTTTTGTTATTTGGGTTTTGTTTTTTTTTTTAAACTCTTCGACTAAAAATACATTTCAGACCAAAACCAAATGATATCATATAGCATTTGAAACCTGCCTTTTTTCCTTGGCCCTTGTTTTATTTGAAATAAGCCAAATGGGCATGTAGATAAGATCACTATAATGGAGCCAGGTCTCTTTTGGTAAAGTGTTATTTAAAGGTCTGTTAAGATCTTATAAGAGAAATATACTGAAAAACAAAAAAATTACTGTAGTAG